TATATATATATATATATATATATATATATATCACAACCATGTAGACCTTCAAACTTCTACGTAACTAATATGAAATATCCACTCCATATGTGTTATTGTACAGTACTGCACATAACGGTACAAGCAACAGTTGATTATGGGAACATATTTCGTGTTCCATCCCAAATGAGAAGTGAGTTTGTAATTCTCAATAAAACTTCTAGAGGTATTAGTTGTATCAATGGATGGTTAAAACAAAGCTGAGACATTTTCACGTTCAGTTTTACCAATACTTTGTGTCCACCACTCAATTATTTTGTATGTAACACACTACGCATATAGAGGTTGGGTACATCATACTAAAATAAATTTGGAGCTTCACCACGTTGTTATAGTCTGTACCACCACGTCCGGTCATGCTCTACCCGATGACCATGCCCCTTGACAATTGCCCTTCAGCATAGTTTCCATTGCAAGAGGCTTCATCATAAAGCTGAAATGTCCAAAATACATGAGTACTCTGTACAAGCTTCCCACCTAGTCTAATGTACAATAACAATGGCTCCCAGAGGCCATTTTAACAGTCTGATCTCACAAAAATCCAAAGATGCAGCTCCTGATGACTTGCATATGTGCTTTATTCACCAGTTGAATGGATGTGTTATGGAAGCAACTTGTGTTGATTTTTCAGATGGAGAACCTTCTTGAATATGTTGTATATTGTTGCCTGGGACATGTGGATGGCTTTTGCCACTGACCTTTCTGTTGCAAGTTGCAGTACTTAACACCGGTTGCGAATGACTTGTTACAGGTTTCTCTCTGGATAGTCCTGGTACCTTTAGTTGATCCATACTTATCACAGCTAGGGTATGACTTGTTACAGGTTCTCTCTGGATGGTCCTGGTTCCTTAAGTTGATCCACATTCCTTTAACACATTGACTGCTGATTCACCATATATGGTACAGTCCGCCTCTGGTAGTTGAATGCGAGTGTGCCATGTACAATGTATGGTTTGCAAAAATTCCACACATTTAAAACACCAAGAGTCAATGGGATAATTAAAAAGGATTATAGCACGTCTTGGAAATTCTAAATCTCCAACCTAAACACATTTTATGATCTCTGGTTACGAATACTTTGCATGTTACATACCCCTCTAAAAAGTGACCAATTGTCACTGATATCAAACTACCTATGAATGCCATATAATATCATACATAGTTCTGATACATGCTGTTTGACAATAATATGTTGATTGTGTTTGTCTGAACTTGCTGATTTGCATACTCAAAATCTTTTTATTATAACATACTCAACTTTCTGTATTTTGAAGGAACTTTCTTCTAAAAATTAGAACTTGTTTAAATATTTGAATTATTGGAATAACTTACATCTGCATAACTGTAAATGACTCAGATAATTTTCAGAATAAGCCACACAATACTCAAAAAGGTTTCATTCAAGTTATATTTGTTTGCTGTTGCTTTGTAGGCAATCACCAAGAAAATTACATGAAACGTGAAAAAGTCAGAAACTTTTAACTTCTTAAAACTAAAGAGTACTTAAATTATTTTCATGCAAGGGCTTACCTTATCTGGCCGACAAACGGGTAGTTGGTAATAATGGTAGGTTTCATGGTTGTTGAAGTAAGGCCCCACTTTGTTTACATACAAAATAACCTGAAAAGAAATACACCTACATTAATACAATACCTTTAATTTCTTGTTTTAATCTTTAAGAAATAATTCTCTCAAATAAATTTACATGTTAACTTACTTTTTTGTTTACCATACGGTCAGCATTTTCTAACTCTTTTGTTATAAATAAAATTAATGTTATAATTAATTTTTGTTTGGGAATGTAATTGTTTTTTACACACTGTGTTTCTAAAATACTTTGAGTCTTCAGCATGAGATGTGAAATTTTTTAAAAAAATATACAAAGAGAAATAAATATTAAATGCTACTCAGTAACAGAAAAGCTAACATGATATATTCCAAATGTAATAGAACAGTTAGAGCTTTGTTTCAAATGTTTAACTGTGAGAAATCTATGTTTGGTGCATAACCAATGATGACTTCTTGTTTTGCATATTGTTATAGCTCCACCACACAGCTCAACTAAAGTTCATTGATTTTCAGTAAATTACTCATAGCTCCACCACACAGCTCATCTAAAGTTCATCGATTTTCAGTAAATTACTCATAGCTCCACCACACAGCTCATCTAAAGTTCATCGATTTTCAGTAAATTACTTATAGCTCCACTAAACAGCTCAATTATA